TACTCGATAACTCGGCGGCGGTAAAACGGACAGGATATGAACTGAGCTCACCTTCAAACAGCCAGTCCAGCGCAAGGTCCGAGCGAGCCGGGGGGAGGGACTCCGGGCTGGAGACGTCCCTGCAGTCACCCGAGCCCTGTGCGTTCAGTCCTGACTGTGCCTGTCCACCCCCGTGACCAGACCACGAACAAACATCGGTAAACTGCAGCGAGGACGGCAAAAGTCAATTAAAAAGAAAACAGTTAGGTTTATGAGGAATTAGACGTGTCAGTTTTGAGTTACTGCCAAAAGAATAAAAAAAAACACGTAGGTCGCCGTGTGAGGCGGTAAGACGATCCGTGGACACGCCGTGGACGCTTAGCAACTTCGGGCGGCAGGGACACTCCTGAAAATAACCCTCAATCGCAGGGATCGGGGCTGCAGCGACCGAGAGTGAAAAAAATTAAGGAAGTCACAGCCGCTCGGGGACAGAGGGCCGTGCGTGTCCGCGGACTATCGCGAACTCTCCAGCGGGTCCCCTGTTTGCAATCAGCGGTCCACGTCCTCCGCGCGTCCCGATGCGCACCAGCACAGGCGAGGGCGGCAGGCTTGGCAGAGCCGCTATTCCTGGCTCCGGCCGGTGCCCACCCTCTCCCCGCCCCCTTTCCGTCCTTTCATCGTTAGTTTTCCAGCGGCGGAATTTACTTTATCCCGGGATACAGGCTTTCCGAGAGCAGGTCGGCCCCATGTCCCCGCTGCGGGCGCAGACGCCCTCCTTCTATCTCTAGGTCTCAGCGCCACGGGCAGGTCCCTGTCGTTTTGCTGCCCACGTAGGCTATACTTCGCTCACAGCTCCGCCCGAGAAGTGTCTTGAATTCGGTGTTTTTTTTTATTCTTGTTCTTGGTTGGTTTTTTTTGCGCGAGTCTCTGTTTGTTCTGTGCCCGGCGCCGCGCGCGTGCCCACGGGGAGATCGGCGGCTCGCGCCTCTCGAGACCCCAGCGCGCACGGGGCACCCTCTCGTGACCTCTGGGGTCAGACAGACGGTTTGACACTGTATAATTCAAAGGCGTTGCTTTATGGACACGGTTGTATACAGTCACGCAACAGATTGCAATAGGCTTCGATACACCCTGCTACTACCACTAGGCGATATGGGTAGAATTACAGCGGACCGAGACTAATCAATTTATTTTGGTTTTAAAATAGATTTAGACATTCAGTTAGGTCACTTACATAATGCACTCAATTCAGGTTTTTAACAAAATGAACAGTTAGCAAGAATATCCCTTCAGATAGCACACAGATCACAGGGCGAGGTCAGGAGTCCGGCTCCGAGCTGCTGCAGACCAGTTTGTGTATGTGTGTCTATCTGCACATCATTCACAGGGCTGTTCCACTGACACACCTGTGGGCAGGACACACACAGGACAGCCCAACAGACCTGATGGACCTCACCTCTTTACAGGCACACACACACAGGCTCGCTCATACACATGACAGACATACAGACTGACACACATTCACATGACAGGGATACAGGCCTACACACACAGACTCTCACAAACACTCACATGACAGGAATACAGACCTACACACACAGACTCACAAACACAGGCTTCCACTTACACATGACAGGGATACAGACACACACACTCACATGACAGGAATACAGACTCACACACACTCACATGACAGGAATACAGACTGACACACAGTAAGAGACAGAGAGGGAAAGGAAGTAACAGAGGGAGATCCAGAGTTACAGGATGTCACTGGGAGACACTGGGAGAGGGAATCAGAGAAAGGAAGGGAGAGAGGGGACTTGTTCTGTCTCACAATAATAATAATACAGCGTGTGATCTCCTGTCCCAGCCTGAGGAGCAGATAGTGAGCCCTATCTCACTATCTGCTCCTCAGCACCTCTCAATAATAACAATACAGTGTGTGATCTC